TTTCGTTCGGTTTTATATCTTTTCTATTTATTTTAAATCTGATACTAGAAAGGAGCAGAACTCTGAACGTGATCCTGCTGACCGAGTGTCAAAATGACATTAAAAAGCCCGCTCCTATTCCAGTGAGCCAGATTCAAGAGCTTCACACACAAGCCTGTAACTAGAGAACTATGGAACTTCAACTTAAGAAAGTACTGATGTGTGTCACAGTAACAAGAACATTATTTTATTATAATTATAGGAACAATTTTGCCTAGCTCTTGATCTAATTTGTGCGTGTGTGCGTGTGTGTGGGTGCGTGCGTGCGTGCATGTGACCCGTAGGCTTGTGAACCATAGTGCCAAGCCACTGCATTATATTTTTGGCCTTGGTTATAGTTCATGATTATTAGATGTTGCTTCATTATGATCATTAAATATTGCCTGACAATAAATTGTGCAATATATTGTTTGTATCCGCATTATTTAACTATTGAAACGTCAAATTCATTATTATTAATTTACCCGTATGTGTGTTTGGTGTTTCTAAAAGAATATTTCTTCATCTTTACTCTGAAACACAGTTAGGGTATTTATAAATTGTGGGTTGGTCTTTAACTGGATATTTCCCAGGTGTTTACATTTTCTATTTCAGTGGGTCACACCCACCATCTAATGGCTGTCTTACCCTTGCACAAAGTTATACTTGAATCACTTCAGCAGTTTTATGGCATTCGTGAGTAAAAGAGTGATGGCTTTCTTATGAGTCTATTCTTTTCCTTTAAAAATTGATTAGTTGTGTGTGTGTGTGTGTGTGTGAGAGAGAGACACCGGGATTAACATACCCACTCAAATTATAGTGTGTTTCAAAACTCATGCCGACAAACTTAACAAATATTTGGAAAACTTCTGCGCGCAGCAACACGAAATTTGTGTATGGCTTTAGATGTCCCATGTCCTTATGATTCTATAATTTAAAATGTCGAAGACGCTACGGTTTTCTTAAAAGCGGAGAATTTGTTTCATGTTTATTGACTAATAATTTCTGTACCCCGCAAAAATAGAATATACAATATTTGACACACGGGTGGAGATTGGTTGGACATCAGTTCACACGTGCACCCATGCGTGCTGATTATTTTGATAGCATTTTCCCCAATCAATACAATATCGCAACTCACTGAGACCTATACTGGAGATGCACCTGAGAGTGAAACGCCTATGACACGAGTGCAGTTTAATGTATTGGTAAGTTCTCCTTACTCTATTTACCCAAGTTACTGTATACATGCTGATTGTTTGCTTCGAATCGGTGTCGTTTTTTTTTTTTTACCCTTGTACCGCAAATATGGCAAAATGAAAACTAAATTTCTGTTTAAAAAAAAAATACAAGAACTTTATTATTAGCAGGCTGCGTGCCAGATTTCAGCAACTTCAACAACATAAGGTTATTATTATTAGGAATTCACCACAAATAAAAGGAAACCATATAAGACAGCTAAGGAACCTTCTTCGATATAGCAGGCCTCCAACGTCTGAAAGAGGATCAAATTTGAAAATTTTGTTGGACGAATTGGAATTGGAATTAGATATTTTAAACCTCGGCGGGACTTCTGAAACGCACTATAGACTTAAGGTTAATCTCGTAACGTTGACTGCCCCAATACTGGTGCTTAATATGTCATACTCCCTGGGGCAACTGCTGAACTATCCTTATTACTGCATCAGTCGACTATAAATTGCAATTTTAGTGGTGGAGTGTTTGTGTTGGCACTTCTGACCGCTGCCATAGTCATTTAATAATCCAGGGAACTGTGACTAAACAGCTCAACGAAATGGGAAAACAAAACGTGCACAAAATGTGAAGAAAAAAATGACGTTTCGGCTATGGCCTTTCTCGACATGAACTAGCTACACAACAAGAAGAAAGGGGAGAATACTCCCAGCACCAGCGCCCACTGGGGGGTCACGTGAGAAACTATGAAAAGGTGATGTAAAAAAAATATAATGCAATACAATAAATTAAGGCTAAAAACAGTTTTTTTTTTTTTAAACAGTCATAATTTATTATGCATTTATGACCGCGATCTGTTTCAATTTTTGTCCTCAACGGATGCGATAATTATCCTCTGTGGTTTTCTTACCACAAGTACAGAGGAGTTGGCCTATTAACTTCAGAGCTGCAATTGCCCGAATATATCCCAAATATACCTGTGTGATATGATCGACCGGTGCTTTTAGAATTTAGTCTTGTTGGATTCTCATCCCAGGAGTGACCCTTACAGTCACAGGGTAATAATCTTTCAGGCAGCGATAATAGAAGGTAAAATTGTTTCTGTAATTTCAGAAAGCTGGTTCATGGAAAAGACTGCACCAAGCAGACATCCTTAAAGGGAACCAATCGATATCAAACCTTAAAAAGTGTAATTCCTGTATTATCACAATGACCTCCCCTATCTCTTAGGAAATAAGTAATAATTGGCTCTGCTTGCCCGTCGGCCCCAAAGTCTTTATTTCCAATTTCGCGGATTTTCTAAAATAAAAATTACATTAGCTCTCACGGCTACACTGCCTGAAATTGGCACTGGAAAGTGTACCGGAAAGAAATTTAACATCAGTCATCGGGTGACTATTCGTGTATTATTATCTTTTCAACTCCAATGTGGGACGAATTTTTTTTTTAAAAGCCCCATCCCGGCTGTATGATAAATTATCTATATTGTTCCTATGTGGTACGCAATTTGTCGCTTTTGCTTTTCCCAGAATAATTTACAGAATGAGAATGAGGCTGTTAGCACCAATTCTCAGACATCCTTTTAGTTACAGGAGTATGTTGTTGTCGGAATAATATTCTTATTCAACTTCCCAATGGCCATTTTCTAGCCCTTGGCCAAATCTTTGTTTATACTTCACACCTAGTTGACACACTTTTGTACATTGCCTTCAATTTTTTTCTTCTAATCCACAATCTGACTCAACATGAGTTGGCCACATCAGTCACTACTTTTAGCTATATGTTTTAATTGTTCTCAACATTTGTTGTCATGTGGTCATGAATTGAATAAATATTTTGTTGGAAAGTAAAAGAAAAAAAAGTGTTGCTGGGAGCCGCAATATAGCCTGACGGTTAAACGCGGTTTGTGGGACCTCTCCACGGGTGATCCACATGGTTGCACTTTGTGTCACCGGATGTTGATCGCTCTGTGTGATGTCCTGGTGGGGTAAAATAAACCCGGCTGTCGTCGTATAGAGAACTGCTTTGGGCCCACATATGGAGCGATTAGTTTTTAAATTATTTAAAAACCCCAAAACTGGCTGTTGTCGAGGGCCCTTTTATAGATTAACTAGTTGAACGGGGTTTCTGGGACTTGTGCCCAGGTGATCGTCATTCGAAGGGAGGGGGGGGGCACTTTGGTTCACTGGGTGCTGGCCGCTCTTTGTGCGGTCCTTGTGGGATTGAATGTCACTCACTCTTGACGTCGGGAGCCCCAAACATAAACTATGGGGTTTTAGAGATTTGCAGTCGGGTGATTCCCATCGAAATGGGCGACACTTTGTGTCACCGGGTGTTTTATCTGCCGTCGTGTGGTCCTGGTTGGGTTGAACCTTACAAAGTCACATTCGTGTATTGTGGTCAATCTTTTACAGTATATTCGTGACTATTAATGTTTGCTATTAAAATGATTTCAAAAAAGAGTTCTGTGTCAATGGGATTGAAGGAAGGGTATGAATTGGGCACTTTGTAACAAGGGAAACATAAGTACGCCGTGAATTTAGGAATTTAGGAAAGAGGAGGAGAGGGAGGAAGAGGAGGAGGAGAAGAAGCAGAAGAAGAAGAAGAAGAAGAAGAAGAAGAAGAAGAAGAAGAAGAAGAAGAAGAAGAAGAAGAAGAAGAAGAAGAAGAAGAAGAAGAAGAAGAAGAAGAAGAAGAAGAAGAAGAAGAAGAAGAAGAAGGAGAAGAAGAAGAAGAAGAAGAAAAAGAAGAAGAAGAAGAAGAAGAAGAAGGAGAAGGGGGTAGGAGGAGGGAGACAAAAAGATTCAGTGAAAACACTTTAATAGCATTACCATCCATTGCTGTTCCAGCATACTTTCCTTGTTGTTTTCTGTTTACATGATGCAAGATAGCAGCAGACCAGATTTGCGAGTCCACTGCTATTTCTGCAAACATTACGTCGACAAGTATTTTTTTTTTTCTTTCTAAACCACCTTAGACAGAAATCTAAGCCCGGTCCGATGCGGACTGCAAAACGTTTTCACTAACCTTAAAGCCACTAGTCGACCCACTCTAACGTCTACAAACGGTTCATGTTTTCTTTAAAACCAGCAAAGAAAACGGAGACATTTAAGCTTTCATGAACCATAACACCCTTCTATTGTGCTTTCTTAAGTAAAAATATAATCCCAACAGAACCGTGTGCAAACTACACACATTTGACAGTAGGAGCACCGACACACAGAAAACATTGAAGGGATGGTAGAGGGTTTTAATTGTCTAGGGGCGGGTAGAGCTGAAAGGCTTCATGCCTTGTTTAAATGTACAATTGATAATATTGCTTTTATTATTATTATTATTATTATTATTATTATTATTATTATTATGAAATGATGTGTGGTGAATAAATATTTTTTTTAAATCGGACATAATTTACAAAGTATAAACAAATACACGTAAAACGAACATCTATCGATGGGTATTCCCCTTACCAAATTGTATAGGGGTACGTGATGGAGGTCCTTGGCCTCCTCCCTTAAATATGTACGTGTGTGCGTGTGTGTTTGTGCGTGTTGAGGATGCACTTTAGCCCCCCCCCCCCCCCCCCCATGTTTCGGCGCCTTTCTTCGACAACCGTGTCGCCCACCATCAGCCAGGTTTTTCAGACTGGCCAAACCAGCTGAGATATATTTAAGTGTTCAAGCGGAAATTGTTTCAGGGTTTGAAGTTTGTAGATAAATCTAGGTCGACAAGATAGTTGTTTTTTGGTGATCTTAATCTGTGAAAAGTTGTTGTTTGCTCTAATCAACATGCCCAAGTGTCCAAGATGTCAGAAAGAGGTGTATTTTGGTATGTAATTGTAGACAAGTTTTAATTTAGCATATGTGTTTCTATTGTTTTTCCTTTCTTTCCGAACATACATTAAGGAATGATTCTTACTTCCGTATGTATACATATACAATCCAGTTTTGTCCTTTTTAGGACAAATTTTTTTTGTTATTCAAAGCCCCACCCTGGCTTTTGCCAGGGGCCGCAATATAGGCAGGCCATCAATATGGCCAATTGTCTGAACGCGGTTTCTGGGACCTCTCCACGGTGATCCTCATCCACATGATGGCACATTGTGTCATCGGGTGTTTATCGCTTGTGTGATGTCCTGGTGGGGTAGAAAGTCAGTCAGTCAGTCGACTTCCGTATGTATATCTAAGTAATGGCAATTGCAGTAAGGATCAGAGTGTCAAAGTGTTGTGTAGAATATGTTTTGTTCTATGCATGGAAGACATGGGTAATAGGCTGCAACCTGGAAATAAAGTCGAAAACAGATCAATGCAATTCCGCGTAGATTAATTTGTGCTGTAGAAACTGTATTATTATGGTGTGGAGAGAGTGATGCACCTGGGTGTGACCAGAGGGTCTGGCCAGCACACTACACTCAGAGGAAAGGCAAGACGGACATTATAACCAGACTATGGCGGGTAACATTAGTATTGGAATTCTTCGCTGGTTTTCTAAAAAATGGGAGACGAAGCACGTATGGGAATGCCCCGAGTGCTGTGATGTCAAATTATGACTCAAATCAACTCAACCGTTTTTCAAACATTTGAAGAGAAAGCATGAATTAAGTAACTTGGTAACGAATAGCAAGAGTTGAGTTAAGTCGAGAATTGACATCACTGCAATCGGGGCATTTCCATGCATGCTCCGTCCTCATCTTCAGCAGCCAGCGTAGAGTTCCAATACTGATGGTACCTGTCACAATCTGAGAATAGCAAGATTGAGGTAGAAGGGACAATGTCAAAGCAAATATATAAATACGCGCAGTGGAAGGGGGGGGCGGCAATAACACTGACTTGACCAGTGATTATGGTAATCCTTTAAGATGAGGAAGATGTGGCTTATGCCTACTGGTAGGGGACATTATGTTGATATCTGGCTGTGTCAAATAACTTCTTTAGACACATTCATCATCATGTAGCAGGTCATTTGCAGAACGTCGCTCTCATCACGGTCTGAAAGGAGCTCGTGTCTCCACCATCTGTCCTGCCTTGTGTACTTTCATATTCAAGGAGTTACTTATATCTTGTGCCTATCTTCGTGTTGGTCGGCCCCTGACATTCTTTCCTAGCACCATGTATTCGGCTCCTTTTTTCCAACCCGCTACTACTATCACTGAAATCAAAGACGCCCTCGACTCTTTACAAACTTAAAGGCAGCACGCTATGTTGATGTTACTGCATAAAAATAGGGAACTGCGTGTTCTCCAGACATGCTGTCCGCCTCCAGTACTAGAGGTTCCGGGTTCGATTCCAGGTAAGGGCTGAGATTTTTGACGCCGTGCGCATTGTTGCGCAAGTAAAAAAAAATCTCTTTGCAGTTGGAAATCAAAAAGAGTTGCCTAAGTGCCCTGCCTGGGCGAAATTTGGAGTTTAAAATATACCCAAAGTATTTCAGGATCCTCGCCGGTGCTACAGAGCCCGTGTACTGTGTTGAGCTTCTTCAGACGCAGACGTGAGTTAGAAGAAGCACGGAACACTTATGGGTTAATACCCGTGTGTCGTGATGTTGATCCATTTTTCAAACCTCAAACCTCATACTAAACATGTAGCTCAAAGCGATTTGCACAGCAGGATACTACCGATCGTCAGTAGATGTCTCCGTGCAACAATTGTTTCGGCTCGTTTACACTCCTAGACAATCTCTTGTGTAAGGGACGAGGGGTGGTGAGCGGATGGGAGGGGAGGAGGGGCTGGCCCGGGTCAGGGCTCCAGGCCTCAGACATCTTCTGCTGCGCTTTTCGGACATTCGGAAGTTATAGTGATTTGCAACAGGTACTGAGGTTATGGTGATATATATAGCCAATTATCCACCTATCTGCACGACCAGAGTGACAAATTGACGGCTGGTTAATCAGATAAACGTTTATCAGATAGACTTTGGCAGTTGGCAGTAGCGATGATAAGAACATAAACCTAACATATGATCTGTTTCAATGAATATGGACAGAGGGCGAAATTCCCAATTTAGTTCAAGAATTGAATAATAGTTAAAATTTCAGAAAAGAACTTTTACCGAAGAAATTATTAGTAAGTATCTCTGTAGTGAGTTATACTAGTAATATATAAATAACGACATCACAAGTAAGTATGAAAAAGAACAACCTCTTTTCTTTTATCGCTTATTGCTGACGTTACAGAATTGGTGATCACAAGAGCTTCACTCCAATGTTTTGTTTTAAAATATAATTAGGACGACTGGCATAGCAGTAAATGACAGTATATATTTATGTCTCTTTAATTTACTACCATCATCTTCTTCTTCGTCATCATCATCATCAAATGAAAGAGAAAAAAAAGAAAAGTCGGAAAGAAAGAAAAGCAGACGACAGAATGAAAGAATGAAAGAAAGAAAAAAAAAGAAAGAAAGAAAGAGAGAAAGAACTACAGAAAGAGAGACAGACAAGACAAACAACAGACAGACAGAAAACTAGAAGTCAGTTGACTTCTAAAGTTTAAAGCCATAACAAAAATTCAGCTACAACTTCGTTAGAAGATTGAAAGGCGTGGGTTGGTGTAACCGATTCACTCGATCTTCAGCAGTGGTTTTCGGCATTGTGAGGAGGGGTAAGGGGGTGTGGTGGTGCAAGGAGGCTTTAAGAGCTGTGTCAAGCAATTTTAACTTGTATCTGTACTAGTATAAAGTATTACACTAAAAAATTTTCTTTCTTTCCAGTTTAGTTACAAATAAAATATATATATTTTTAAAATTATCAATAAAACACAAAGTTAGGAACGTTTTTGTTGCCAATAGCAGTTTATTCATCGCCTGTTAAAAATTAACAGAATGACAGTTTTTGTTAAGTGTGTTTGCAAATTCTTTTTGTACCTTCTTTTTGAATCACATTTTTTAAACTTGGGGAGTCAAAATGAGGGGGGGGGGGCGGCATTGGAAGCTCTTGTCATATATTCAAGAGTGTGCCACTAAAAAAGCTCGGCGAGCGGGTCGCCCACTGGCTCGCCGCCAGACAACTTCGTCGCCGGTCGGTCCAGTATTTAGGTCTGTCGCCTTCGATTGTTTCAACACTGCAGGAGTCCTTTTCAGGGCTCTTGCTGGTGTGCCATGCTAAGCTAGTTTATATGGCGCATATAACCTAGTCACAAATATAACATAAGGCTCCCCTTCAGGAATGCTGGATGAACCGTGATGATTTCCCTCCAATTCCCCCCCCCCCCTCCCCTGCCACCTTTCTCCAAAAAGCACCACCATAACCTTAAAAAGTTTGAAAACTACTGATCTACACATACTTTAGACCTGCACACTGAAAACACGGGACTTGCTACCAATGTTTGGCATCGTTTTTGTAGGCGTGGTTTGTTTAACTCCCCCATTGTGACCTAACTTCTTCTGTGTGTCATCCACTTAATTACAGGATAGACCGCCAAGGTTATTTGCGTATACAAAAATATCGGCGTCTGTGGCTTATACAATGTGATCGCGTTTGGTAATGACGGGATGTCGGGTTCGATCCCTGCTGCAGTATGTTTTGCTTTGGTTTCGACAGTGGTACCGAGAGCTGACTGTGTAGTAAGCAGTGGCAAACTAATGAATGTAAAATTTACCTAGAAAAACCACAATAGTTAAATAAATGCTAGGGTTGGTTCTGCAACTTCCTGTAAAGGATATGAAACTAACGGAATACAAAAAGACAGCATTCTAGAGAAGAATACCAGGTCCGTTGTATAATTTAACGAAGCGGAAACTTTTAGAGAACAATATCGATTTGTTTGTCATCTCTGAACTGTTGCCTGTGATTTTACCATACCATCCTGAGATTAAAATAACTCCATCTGGACGGCAGACCAACAAAGCAGAACCCAGATACAACGTTTAACATTCACAGAAGTTATATTTAGGGCCCCCGCAACATCTACGCCAGCACATATATTACAATCTTAGCCACGCAAGTGGCGTAAATAAACCAGCCACAAATATAGCCGGAGACTGTTGGCGGCTCGCTGCCCATAGCAGGTTTAACGGAGTCAAGTTTGAGTGTGCGTGTGTGTGTGTGTGTGTGTGTGTGTGTGTGTGTGTGGAATGGAACGGCAACACCAGCCTGATATATTATAGGGATAAGGATTTTGTAAGAGAGAAAAACTAAGACTATATTTATACGAAGCACAGCCGTGTAAAGATAAAAAGTAGGTTTTTTCCCCCAAGTTTTCCAGTAATTAATTTCAATAATGCGGACAAAAACAATACATTGCACAATTTTTTGCCTGACATATCTCGTTGTATCTCGTCAGGTGCGTTACTACAGAGTTGGATCAACACGTAATGAAGCACAAAAGTCCTCTTCTCTAGAAGTTTCTGATTTGTGAACGTATATAGCAAACCTGATATTCTTCTCCAGAAGTTTCTAACTTCTGAACTTATATAGCAAACCTGATATTCTTCTCTAAAAGTTTCTAACTTCTGAACTTATATAGCAAACCTGATATTCTTCTCTAGAAGTTTCTAACTTCTGAACGTATATAGCAAACCTGATATTCTTCTCTAGAAGTTTCTAACTTCTGAACGTATATAGCAAACCTGATATTCTTCTCTAGAAGTTTCTAACTTCTGAACTTATATAGCAAACCTGATATTCTTCTCTAGAAGTTTCTAACTTCTGAACGTAGATATCAAACCTGATATTCTTCTCTAGAAGTTTCTAACTTCTGAACGTAGATATCAAACCTGATATTCTTCTCTAGACGGCTGTATTGTTGAATACACAAATAACACTGGCGTTCCGTCCTGTAATCAAGGGGATGACACATATACGAAGTTGTGACACAATGCGGAGCTAAGTT